ATGTAGATGTGTGTACACACAGTACTCAGTACAGGTGACTCCACACACAGGTCACTCTCACAGCCTGCAACGTGCAAGGCCATCACTCACACAACAGAAGACCGAACTTCTTCACGCCTCATAGACGATCACCAATAGTAACTAGATTGGGATCCGCGCCCCCCTCCACTCTCGGGCCTGGCGCTTGGACCGTATCGGCAACACGCGGGGCCACCCCACATACGTAGACATCCCTGCACGTCCGACTCGATGCAGCTGCAGACGTGCAGCAGACCGCTCTGCCCGGTCTCAGGCGTCACCCACCAAGCGGGATGCTAAGTCACTCCTGCTTGCCGCCAGCGGGAAGCGCGAGGGCAAGGCGGTTGGAGAGCCGCGTGCGTCCAAACGCCGCCTGGGCTGCCGCGGCCGTGGTCTGCACACAGTCGGCCGCGGCAGAAAGGGCGACAGACGGGAGGTAAAAGAAGGGCAAGAGGAAGGGCGCGCGGCGCCCGAGCTCGACGCCGAGGGTGGCGAGGAAAGTTGCCACCCGTGCCCGTGCCGAGGTGGCGACGGAGGCAAGGGGCGGGGCCAGCACAAGGTGGATCGTCGAGACAAGAGCCGCGGGCGCTGCGAAGACGAACGCGAGTGAGATCGTCAGCGCGTTTGGCATCCGATCGCGCTTGATGACGACGCGCTTCGGTGGGGACAGGCCGTGTCCGAGCTCAAGCAGCCTTCCGACCTGCTCAGCGGCCTCAGCAACATCCGGCGGCGGGAGTGTGACGATCTCGTCCTGGTCCAACCAATACCGCTCGGCCGCCAGATCCTGAGAAGCACTCATCACTAGCGTCGAGCGCTGAACTATTGTCAAGCCCACCTGCGCACGCCAAGCAGCGCCCACGAGGAACACGGAGCTGATCATGAAGATCAAGTCGATCGTGATGAGCAGGCAACGACTGCGCGGACCTTTTTTTTTGAGAGCGCCTTCGTTGTTAATAGTACAAACCCAATGGTCCTCTGCGAGCGGTCCTTCGTTGCAGTCGCACACACGCACACGCCGCGCCGCACCGCGCGCCCGCCCACCGCCCCGCCCAGGCGGGAAAGAGATGAGGAGATGGGACAGCAAAGGAGGAAGCCCAAACACGTATGGGAGGGTTCAGTAATGCGCCACGCTGCCCGGCGTCTCTCACTTTCCGGGACAGCCCCGCCCTTGTGAGGCAGGAAAGTGACGGCTACCCCGTACGCCCTGCGGCCTGCTACTCCGACGCCGACCTCCCGTTCTCCCCTCCTCGTTCCCCCCTCGAATGCTCCGGACCCCGACAAGCCGCCCGACGGTGGGCCCCTGCCCCGCACGCTCCCGCCCCTCTGCCCCTCACACACACCCAGGCCCGACATGCACATACAAGACAAACCCGGCGTCCTGCTCTCAAAAGAAAAAGAAAAAATGGGAAGGAGGAGACCAGCGGGGGAGACTCCCCGCCTATGCAACACCCCAGAGAGGGGCTGCCATCGCCGAAGCTGTGCCTAAGCATAACTCCCAAACCCGCAGCGGCCCGGGGGGCCTTGGGGGCAGCCTGCCGGACCGCTGTTGCACGGGGCCAAGCCCCAGAAGATGAGAGTAGTTGATGGATCGGGCTGTCGACCGTGCCTCCCCTCTTTTCGTCAGAGTGGGACCTACGCCGCGCCGGGTAAGGGGCGCGCCCGGTCCTCGACGGAGCCGCGCGCCCCAAACGACCCAGGCGGCGAGTAGTCGTCCTCGAACCTTCGACTCGTAGTCGCCCGTGGTCAGCGCCCCTCCTCCCTCGCCCGTCCCTAGTCATACTGCTCCCGAGGCGCCCGCGGCATCTCGCCGCCCATCTTCGGCCACGCGTTGTAGTCGAAGATGGCGGCGTTGCGCCTCGCGACGATGGCCGAGTGCACTTGCAGGAAGCGTTTGCGCTCGCTACTGACCCGCCATCGTTCGCTGTCGGAGGACGCCTTAGCGGCCTTGATGTCGAAGTTGGTGTTGAACCACGTCGCCGCCTCGTGCCCGATGCCGCCACGCGTGCTCGCCGCCCATGTCATAAAGTCGCAGTTTTTGGCGTCGCACGCCGCTGCCTTGGCCTTCCGCTTCGTCGCCTCGGCGTAGTCGGTGGCTAGGCGCTTGCTTTTTTTTTTGAACTGGGGGGCGCCGCGAGCACCCACGGCCGAGCCGCGTGAGGATCCTGTCGCCAGTGAACCCTCCCCTTCCTCAAAATCAATCCCCAGTTCGACGAGGAAGGAGGAGAGAGAGACGGCCGACGCGCACAGACTGACTGACGTCAGCTCTGCACTCAGAGCCCGTCAGAGGAAACGACGGACTTTTCGTAATTTTTTCGTCAGCATTCTGCGTGTCGTAAATTTTCGTCAGATTCGATCTCTTGTCGCCGCACCTCGATTTCTTTCTCTTTGTCAGGCCATGTCGCATGTGCCGCTCGCTCGCGCCCGCCCAAGTGACTTGGACGCGCGGTCGAGGGGGCACCCCACCGTTCTTGGGACGCGCTGGCGTTCGCCAGATCGTCCCCCCACCCATCCACCCTTTTTACTTTGAGGCTGTCGCTCCGAGAAAGCTCGTCTCGCAGCTGCGAGAAGGTACGTTCCATGGGAAGGTACACGTCGCCACTTACTTTTCATCGCAATCCTTACACGCTCAACTTTACCGATAACGGCGTTGCCGCGGAGAGCACCAAGGGGCAAGGTGCAGCCGAGCTGTCCGAGGGAGAGTCTCCCTCGCTGCGCGTTTCCCCACCCGCCCGCGGTGTGATAGTCTCTTGTACTCCCCAGAGGCCCTTGCCGACGCGGGAACCCAGCAGCCGACGTTGAACCCCTAATCAGACATGACGACCGGGACGACGACCTCACGATAAACGGAAACGTAAAATCCGCTCCGCCCTCCACTAGTTGTTCGCGCGTCGGCTGGCGAATAGCGATCGCCTCGGCTCGCTTCTCGGGAGCTGGTCAGGTTGCATCCAGTTGTTCCAAACTCGATATGGCTCTTCGAATCGGTAGCCATCGCCCAAAGCCCGTCAGCATGCTGCGTGCGTGCCGCCCCAGCGCTCGCCCACTTCCCGACCCAGCCTCGCCCCCTCTCCTCGCAAGCTTCGCTCCTCGCGCTGGGTGCGGTGGCTTCTTCACAACTGACGGCCGGCGGCTTCGTGCCGTACTACACGTACACGGGCGACCTCGCCGTCTCGGGGACGGTCGGGCCGATGACGACGGCCGGCACAACGCAGACGTTTTACTACCAGCTCGACGGCGTCGACACCTTGTGCGAGAGCGGCGCGGGCAGTGCGGGCAACTCGTGCGGCATCCACATCCACGCCGGCAGGACGTGCGTCGACAACGCCCTCGGCCACTACTACACGGGCGCGGTGACGACCGACCCGTGGACGTCGATCGCGTACACGGCGACCGCCGCGGGCACCACCAGCGGCAGCGTGACGGTGGACACGGGCGCGGCCTCGACGACACTCGAGGGCCTGGCGCTGATCGTGCACGGCTACGACGGCGGGCGCATCGCGTGCGCGCTGCTGAGCGACGGCGTCGATTCGGCGCTGCAGGCGAGCGCTTTCGTGCCCTACTACACGTACACGGGCAGTCTGGCCGTCTCGGGCGTCGTCGGTCCGATGACGACGGCCGGCACGACGCAGACGTTCTCGTACACGCTGGTGGGCGCTGATCCGGCGTGCGAGAGCGGCGCGGGCAGTGCGGGAAACTCGTGCGGCATCCACATCCACACCGGCACTACCTGCACCGACAACGCCCTCGGCCACTACTACACGGGCGCGGTGACGACGGACCCGTGGACGAGCGTCAGCTACACGTCCGACTCGGCCGGCGCGAGCAGCGGCAGCGTCACCGTCGATACGGGCGCGGGCTCGGGCGAAGTGGCAGGGCGTGCGTTCATCATCCACGGCTACGACGGCGGCCGCATTGGCTGCGCCATTCTGGGAGCGGCGACGCAGGTCACGCTGACGGCGGACGGCTTCGTGCCGTACTACACGTACACGGGCGACCTCGCCGTCTCGGGGACGGTCGGGCCGATGACGACGGCCGGCACAACGCAGACGTTTTACTACCAGCTCGACGGCGTCGACACCTTGTGCGAGAGCGGCGCGGGCAGTGCGGGCAACTCGTGCGGCATCCACATCCACGCCGGCAGGACGTGCGTCGACAACGCCCTCGGCCACTACTACACGGGCGCGGTGACGACCGACCCGTGGACGTCGATCGCGTACACGGCGACCGCCGCGGGCACCACCAGCGGCAGCGTGACGGTGGACACGGGCGCGGCCTCGACGACACTCGAGGGCCTGGCGCTGATCGTGCACGGCTACGACGGCGGGCGCATCGCGTGCGCGCTGCTGAGCGACGGCGTCGATTCGGCGCTGCAGGCGAGCGCTTTCGTGCCCTACTACACGTACACGGGCAGTCTGGCCGTCTCGGGCGTCGTCGGTCCGATGACGACGGCCGGCACGACGCAGACGTTCTCGTACACGCTGGTGGGCGCTGATCCGGCGTGCGAGAGCGGCGCGGGCAGTGCGGGAAACTCGTGCGGCATCCACATCCACACCGGCACTACCTGCACCGACAACGCCCTCGGCCACTACTACACGGGCGCGGTGACGACGGACCCGTGGACGAGCGTCAGCTACACGTCCGACTCGGCCGGCGCGAGCAGCGGCAGCGTCACCGTCGATACGGGCGCGGGCTCGGGCGAAGTGGCAGGGCGTGCGTTCATCATCCACGGCTACGACGGCGGCCGCATTGGCTGCGCCATCCTGGGCGCGACTGTCGCTTCGCCGCCCTCATACCCCCCATCGCTGCCGCCTCCGTCGCCGCCAGTCGGCGCCTCGATCATGCAGGACCCGCACATGGACCTGGCGCACGACGGCCACGCCGACTTCCGTGGCAAGCATAAATCCCTGTACAAGTACTTGAGCACTCCGGGACTGAGCGTAAACGTCCTCATTGAGGAGGCGCTCTACACCCTGCACGACGGGAAGCTGCTCGTCAACGGCACTTACATGACGGAGGTTCATGTTGCGGCGCTGGTCGAGGGTTCTAGCCAGTGCAAGTGGGCTTACGTGAGCTACGTCGCCTCGCAGCTGAACGGTTCGTCGCGACCGCATGCGCCCACCCTGTACACGCCACCCCTGCACCCACCTATGGCAGTACGCGCCATCTCCCGTCGCCCACTGCAGGGCAGAACTGGGGCTGGAGCAACGTCAAGGGTAGCTGTGGTGGGAATGAGTTCAAGCTCGGCCCCAACGTGCGAGCGACATTCCCACATTCTCTCTCCCACTCCGCCACCACCGCAGCGCTCCGGACCACCGCCCAAGCCGCCGCTGCCCTCGCCTTTCTACACTCGCCTCGCCCCCATCCTCCGACCTCCGCCACTTCTTAGGCCAACCGCGGCTGCGGCGGGCTTCACGCCCGTGTCAAGATGTCCACTGCAACCATCACGGTGGCGCCGTTTGAAGGCAGCACGGAGGCGGCCCCCTGGAAGATCGTGGTGCATGGCGACCACGTCCACGACCGTGTCGCCGGGCCAGAGCACAGGCTCGACATCGAGCTCTCCTACTCTCCTCAATCGTCGGCGCCGCTGATTGCGCACGGCCTCATCGGCCAGTCATTTGCGGATCCCCTTCCGCGATTCGGACGCCTCGACGTCTACCCCGAGGAGGGAACCTTCACGACCTCCGCGCAGGCCGAGGGCGCCATCGAGGGCACGGCCGACATTTACGAGGTGTCCTCGCCCTTTGAGACCGACTTCACCTTCTCTCTCTTTGCGGGCGAACCCTCGCGCAAGGCGGGCACGGCAGACGCGGCGAAAGCAACCTGCGACAAGAAGCTCGCGGATGAGCTCTCCGACCTCGAGCAGCAAGGCAAGGTTTTGGCCATTCGCCCGTGGTTCCAGGCCATCAAGCGCTCGTTCCAACGCGCGGTGGCACCGCCCAGCGTCGTTGCCCGCGCTGCGTCGATCGAGGTGCGGCCCGGCGAGGGCCTGATGGAGGCGCACCGCCGGCTCGCGGAGGCGGCTTTGCCCCGCGCAGCGCAATCGATCCTGCTCAGTGCTCGTGCCTGATGCCAACTGGGTGGCTGAAGAGCTGTTCATGGCTCTGCGCGAGGACTCCCCCCCCCTCCCCCCCCCCCTCCCCCCTGGAGCCCCCCCAGCAAGAGAAATTTGTGCACGAGCGTAATCCCGTCCTGGTCAGTCCCGGTCCCGGTCCTGTCGTGAGAGAGTGGCACTGGCTCACAGGCCGCCTGATCGTAAATGTCTCTTTGAGGTCGACGGCTTCCTGTGGGATGCCGTTGTCTGTGTGTTGTCAAAAATCAAGTGTGCGTGAAACTTGGAGGACCACTTTGTGTGTGCGGGGACCAGACGTTACCCCTTACGCGATTATCCCTTACCTTAGAGACTTGGAGAGCACTTGGAAGCTGCCATGAATTCTTTTTCTGTCCCGTGCCTAGTGCTGTCCGAGGGAGTTTGTAATTCTTTTCAACCCAGCGTACATTTCTTCTTCGAGAGGCGACCGCAAATTTCGAGGCCAAGCGTGGCGAATGAATCAGCTGGAGTGAATCCCGACCAGCGCAAAACGGCAGGCGTTAGGCCTCTCGTGGGGAGAATTGAACCAAAATTTATTGTGGCCTGATGGTTTGGCAGGAGTTGCAGAAAGACGGACAGAAAAGAAAAGAAAGAAAACAGACACGCCAAACGAGGGATGGGACGAGGACAGGGTCCCCACCTGCACGAGCAGGATTTTGGAAGGACGATCAGGGGGACAGGTGGGGCTCTCCTGCTCCTGACAAGGGAGGGACACGACAGGCGCTCGCAGCGCGGTGCGCGGTGGACTCCCACATCCACTGGCGGTCTCATCTCAGTCTAGCGACCTGCCTCCAGCTTGTCGCTGGCAGTCTCTCCTACCACAGGCACACTGACACAGGGGTGGCAGGGGCGGCGGCACGAGTCTCCCACATACTATGCGGGCCTCACTAGAGGTGCGGCCTGTGCGTGTCCTCGCCCTTGAGGGGGGAGGGGAAGGGGCTGTGTGTCTGTGCATGTGTGTGTGTGTGTGTGTGTGTGTGTGTGTGTGTGTGTGTGTGTGTGTGTGTGTGTGTGTGTGTGTGTGTGTGTGTGTGTGTGTGTGTGTGTGTGTGTGTGTGTGTGTGTGTGTGTGTGTGTGTGTGTGTGTGTGTGTGCGTGCGTGTGCGTGTGCGAGCCGCCCTGAACGCCACGAGCGCGCCGCGAGCGCCGTAGCGCCGGCGAGCGCCGTCGGCAGCGCGCGACCGCCACCCAAAAGCGGAGGTACATCAGGAGCCGCAGCCGGCCTGCTCTATCAGCCCCGCAGCCGCGGTGGCGCGACCGGACCGCGGTCGCTCCAGGCGCCTTTTGGCCCCGGTTCGAATCGCGGTTGGCGCGCGCCCTCGCGGAGCGACGCGTGGCGCGCGACGCGCGCGCGTGCGCGTGCGCGCCCAGCCGAGCCCGAGCTAGCAGCCAAAGCGACTGTTTTTTTTCATAGGTCCCTTGCTGTGGTAGCCGCACAGTAGGCTGTGTCAACTGTGCAGAGCGTGTGAGCAGCCGAGGAGCTGCTCTCCAGGCTTCTGACGCAAAGAGCTGCATGCCATCGAAGGCGCTGTCGAGGTTGCTTCGCCGAGCGCGGCGCAGGTTGGAGGACACCGTCACCGACGAGCGCATTGGACTTTTCACTCCGGACAAAAAACGCGGCACAGCGGACGGTGCGGGGCGTGCCGCAAACTTAGCGGCGAGGCGCGGGACCGTCTGTGGCGAAGTGGGTCGCGTCCTCCGATTTCCTCAACTCACGGTCCGCTCCCGTCTAGAGTGTTTGACTGTGAATTTGAAAAAGTGTTCCTGGCGAGCTTCTCAAGCTACTCTATAGAGCATCTTGCGGTACGGCTTTACGGTTGTGCTCGCTCCTCCTCTCTAGCAGCGCCGGCGGCCCGTCACGCGTCAGCCGTCAGGTCACATCACGACAATAAAAAGATCACGAGAGAGAGAGAGTAGAGTAAAAATCTAACACTCGCACGTTTGTAGTTCTTGACATTGTCATCATTGTCATCAATCAGTCTCATGTCCAGCAATGGGGCGAAACGGGTCAGTCCTCGCCCTCCCCCTCAGCCTCTCCGTCCGCACTGCCCTCCAGCACGGCGACCTCGGCGAGCGCCGCGCGCAGCACGCGCCTCTGCCCGGCGCGATAGGCGGCGCAGTAGCCCTCGCGCGAGAACTGCGCCGCCTCGGCGGCGTCGGCGGCCTCGCTCGACGGCAGGCTGCGCAGCCTCGCCTCGAGCGAGGCGCGGAGGAGGTCGAGCTCGTCGAGGGAGAGGCACGGGCCTGCGAGAGGGTCGTCCATCCCGATCACCTGCAGCGCGAAGAGGAGGAGACGAGGGAGGACGCCCTCCGCCTCCTCCTCCTCCCCCTCCTCCTCGCCCTCCTCTTCTCCCGCCTCCTCGCCCTCGCCGCCCTGCCGCCCGCCCGCGGCCGCGGCGACGGCGCCCCTCGCCTCGTGCGAGATGTGGCCCGCCTCGTGGCCCTCCGGCAGCGGCTCGTGCAGCGAGAAGGGCCCGATCCGCAGCGTGCCCTCCTTCTCCTCGCCGTGCGGCACGCCATGCTCCGCGAGGCACTGTAGCCGCGCCGCGTGGAGCTCGTCGGCGGCGCGCCCGCTCCCCTTGCGGCAGCCGACAACGATGCCCTCCACCGAGTCGAGCGGGTTCTCTGCCGACGCGAAGCCGTACGTGAAGAGGAGCTCGCCGTTGCCCTTTGGCCCGTAGTTGTTGTGCAGCGCCTCGCCCGGCGCCACGGCCTCGCGGCAGCGGAACCGCACCCCCCCTTCGCCCGCCTCCCACCCGATCGGCTGGCCGCACCTGTTCAAAG